AAAAAAAAAACATTTAATCCAGAAAACACTGCCATTTTCTTCATGGCATTATCCTATCCTCAAACTTGGACTAAGTGAAGTCATGTCCCTGAATTCACTTCCACTTTTGCCAAGTTTAACAAGAAATGTAATATTTGTTTGTTGCTCTAATTCAAGCTCTGACATTCTCGTGATAGCACACAAAAACACACAACAGTAATGAACGCTACTCAGCAAGACTCCACATTGACACTACAGCTGTGAGACACTGATAAACCAAGGTTGTGAGTTTACCGACTTGTTTGTACAGTGCTGCCAGCATAAGTCCCCAGTGGCAAATATGCAGACTTAAATGTCAGACCTCGTAAACACAAGAATCAGGTGAAAAGAGGCCAAAAATGACCTTTTTGATTGAGTTGCTAGTGACTGTGATGTTGCATGTATGAGTTCAGGGATGCATTGCCCATTAATTAGACTTACCCACCCTCTCCCAGGTGTAGCTGGAGAATGTAAAACTTTTCTTGTTTTTTAGTATCAAGCTTTGGACAGGCTGACTCCAAAATAAAAGAATCCAGAAGTTTTGGTGCCACACTTTCCTAGTTCTTCCTGCCAACTCTCAGCCAGAAGTAAACCCACTATCTGGAAGTATTCATCTGGTAGAAAATTCCCCATATGGGAGCATTACAAATTGGAAATAAGTACATGACATCATTGTAGCTCACAGCAACCTCAACTCTTGGGCTTAGGAGATCCTCTTGCCTCAGTCTCCTGAGTAGCTAGGATTATAGGTGTGCACCAAGACACCCAGCTAGTTTTTCTATTTATTTATTTTTTTTGAGACAGAGTTTCACTATATAGCCCTCAGTAGAGTGCTGTGATGTCACAGCTCACAGCAGCCTCCAACTCTTGGGCTTAAGCGATTCTCTTGCCTCAGCCTCCCAAGTAGCTGGGACTACAGGTGCCTACCACAAAGCCTGGCTATTTTTGGTTGTAGCTGACATTGTTGTTTGGCAGACCTGGCTGGGTTCAAACCCACCAGCTCTGGT